ATATATATGTATGTATGTATGTATGTATGTTTGTATGTATGTAGATACATACATACATATACATAGATGTATAGGTAAGTACATGCATACATACCTACATACATACAAAATGAGATTGACTGGTTGAGCTAAAGTCAGAATCGTGAACATGATCTCAATCAACATTTAAGCAACACATAAAAATGAGTTACATTATTTTATTTATAGTTTTACGTCTCTGGAGCTGGTTATATTTGGTCATCCTGTGAGGGAGGAAATGAAGATGAATGGAGACACTCAATTGCACCAATCCCTGCAGACAAGCTCTCAGTATTAGTGCCAAATTCTTTTGCTGATATTGATGCAGCAGACCAGGACACGGGCAGTATTCCAGCATCTGGTGAATTGCTACCTGATTCTGGGAGTACAGTTGGTGATGGTGAAGATTATAGAGATTCTGCTGATTTTGAAAAGGAGGTATAGTTACTTCCAGTGAATTTTCTTCTGTATCTTTCTCGTGAGTTTAAATTTCAATGAAAATCCAGTGAAGCTTTACTTTCATTTTAGCCAGTATTTATCTGTGAAATCTGTCTTCAGGTGGATGCAACTTTTCAACGAGCTCTTGCTGGTGTGAATTTGGAGAACGTTATCTTGGAAATCAATTCACTAAGGTTAATTTCCTTTTTCAGCTTTTCAGAAAAATTTTTATACCTGTCAGCATTTATAAGATTAAATAAACTTCAGATGTTGATGCTTCTGCTTTTCAATTTACTTGAGTCTTTTCTTGGGAAAATTTAGGCAGCTTTAATTGAAGGGTTGCTCAACAGAAATTGACATGGTGATGCAAGGGGGCTGAATCGGGCTGCCGGTTCAGCGGTGCCGGTTCAATAGGAAGGCTGAAATGGCTGGCCCTAACTAGGGCTAGAATGCTGCATCCTCTTTTCCCCTCCCCCTCCTTATCTACTTTTATAAATTGGCCCTTTGCTTTGTTTGTTGCTAGTCTTTTGGTGCTTTCTGATTTCAGATTTCTAGCCGCTAGGTATTTTCTCTTGTTAGGATTTTATCCGAGGACAGGTGGTGCTCTAGCTGTATGCTTCTCCGAAGTGGTGACTACCTTGACCTAATTGCTCCCTTGTCGCCCTCTCCACTGCTTGATAACTTTCAATCGTCATCCTCTAGTAGTTCAACTTTCTGCTATCATTTCTTTGCTTCTCCCTGCCGCTCTCTTCTCTCCCCTCTCGAACTCCCCAAGCCCCTGCTTCCCAACCACCAGCATCAATTCACATCCTATATCACCCCAACCCGCCTCCATCTACAGCCCTGTTCATCCCGGGTATTACTGCAACTATTTCCCTTCGCATGCCGTTCCCATAACCCTTCGCCTATTCCCTCAAACGATTGACTTACAATCGATAGCTGCAAGAACTCTCCAGCCTCTCTACTCAACCAGTCACCTCCTACCCTTCTTCGACCTGCCCACTCCATCTTCCCCAATCCCACGGCTGAACCCGAAACCCCCAACCTGCCCTTTTCTGCTTCTCACCGGCACTCGCCGTCCCTCATCCTCACCTTAGGTTGTCCCGTCTTTTATCCTTGTGCTGTTATTTTTCTGTTGTTAAGGGTTATTTTTTGTAAACCTTTTGAATCTCATCAATAATATTTTATTTTTATTGTGGTTTGGGTCAACTTTGGTGTCAAATAATCACTTTGTTTTTCTAGAATATCCATAAACTTTTTCGAAAGAAAATACACAATACACTTTACCCCATATGCAAAATATACATTTATTGACAAACGTTCAAATTTCATTCAAGGTGCTTTTTTTTATATTATTGTTCCTTGAGCGCAATGGTAAGATTTTTTGTATATGTTCTTTTTTTTCAGATTGTCATATCATATGTCACATGCTGATTGTGCTGGCGCATTGTTCCATTCGATAATGAAGGCAGCATTGGTATTCCCCTATTCTTCTAAAAGTAAGAATTTCACTCTCTAATGTTAATCTATCGGATTCATAGTTCAACATGTTCGAAGAGATTTAAAGAAATCAATATAGTTTTATCTCCTTTAGTGTTACTAATAAACTGATTAACTATTACATACATTTTATCTGCAAGCATTGATAGCTTGGGCTTCTCTTGGGACTACTGTTACAACAGCTGCAAGATGGATTTCATCAAGAGAATCTTGGAATTTTGACTTCCATGACATCTACAGCCCATTTTTGTTGTTTTAAGAGTGCTTTGCTTGGGCTGCGTTATTTATTTGACTAGGAGACAATGATCTACATGATTAATTATTTTTCCAAAAGTTGTAATCTTTAATTTACATTTTGATACTTGAAATAACATCATTCAATCAAATAATTGAAGATTGGACAACCGCCGCTTCTGTTAACAATTGAAAATATGGTTTTTTTGGGTCACATTACCATCTTTTTCTGGCCATAAAATCCTTCAAATTGTACAATATATAAGCAAGAATTTGGCTTATGGGAAAGAAACAGATTAAAAGCTTCTTTAGGAGTTAGTTTAGCACCGTTTAGTCTGCATGCCTCTCTCTCTCTCTCCCCGTCACCTACTTATCTCTCCACATCCCGATGAGTGGAGAGAGAAAGATGAGATGGAGAGAGATTGTACGTTGTGGCCTAGCTTTCACATGGGAGATTTGATAAACTATTACAATCTGGCTGACAGAAGCAACACATAATTTTTCCTATGCAATGTCTGCAGGTGGAGCCCAGTCTTGTCTCCACCATATCCTCTCTCTCTCTCACTCTCTCACAGGGAAGGATATAAATATATACATTGATTGTATTAAAATTTGAAGGTAAAGTAGAAGTCATTAATGCACTGTAAATGCTTCTTTTACAGGAAGGGATGACTGAGGTGATGGATGGAACACGAGGAAGAGACATCAACTATATATATATATATTATTTTTTTTGTTTGGGGAAAGAGCAAGAGTGACTCTCTATGTGTTAATATAAAGAAAAAGTATAAGAAGGGGAGGGGAGGAGGATCCCCGCCTAAAAATCCAAAAAAATATATTGAAAAAACTCACCTCTAAGGGTTCCTCCTCCCACAGTACAACCCACACCAAATCAAACCCGAAAATTACAAGTATAGCCAAGACAAAAAAACAAAACCCAAAACAAATATACTTGTGCGAATGCAAAACAAAAACAGGTAAAACATTTGAGAAAAACCAAAATCTGGCATCAGATAAAAACTCCAAATCTCTCCAAGCCAACAAAACAGCAGATAGAACGCTCCAAGCCAGCGGTTCTGCCACCAAGGAAACTGATCCACAAGCAAAAAAAGTCCAGCAGATAAGCAAAGAAGGCGTTCTGAACTGCCAGAATATAGATCGCAGCAAAGGGAGGGTGCAGATAAAACGTAGAGATGAAGCAGAAAAACCAAACCAGAGAGCTGTGCATAAAAATCTTCTAGGTTCTAATATAAGGCAAATTTAATGAGTCCCGAGTAAGTAAAAGTTGGAGGGGTGTAGGGGGGGTTAACCAACAGTGCACACTCCCTCTGCTTGCTTGGCTAACCAGTTGGCAGGGGAGTTACCTTCCCTGTGAATGAAACTCCAACTAACAGTCAGATGACTATTCGCTATTAAAGCTTGAATACATTTGAGGGTACAAATAATGTCCCAGAGAGGTGAAGAGACACCTAATAAAATCTTATAAAGTATTTCTGAGTCTGTTTCAACAATAATAGTATGAAAATTTAAAGCAGATGCCACTTTTAAAGCAAGATATACCCCCAACATTTCGTAGCTTAAGAGAGTATCAGCAGCAACAGGTGAAGTAAAATCACAACATGAGAAGTAAAATATCCCAAAAATGCCCCACATAATTTCTAAAAAGGCCACCAACAGCAGCAGAAAGCTCATTCCAGTTGCCATCGACATTAACTTTCACACAGCCAGGAGGAGGAGGTGTCCAACTGACTAAACGAGGGGGCCTAGCTCTCATACCATAGAGAGCAACATTAGTAGAGGCCCTTAGGGCCTTAGAGTAATAGGCCAGAATATAGGAAGTAGTAATAACGACAGCTGGGGTGGAGGAAATGTATTTATGGTTGTTTCTGGCAACCTAAAAAAGCAAAGGACCAACAGAGGGAGGGAAAGACGCCTTCCCTCATCATCGGCGTAAGCCTTCCACTCTCACAAAAAAGTAATTAAAGTGCCCCTATGTGTCCAGGGGATACCAAAATGTAAACCCAAAATATTCCAGACATCCATTGAAAAAGGACATTAAAAAAATATGTCTTAAGCCTTCCTCCGAAATTTTGCACAGAGGACATCTTGATGCCAATCTTAAACCTTTCAGTTTCAGAATGTTATCAAGAGGGAGTAAAAGGAGAAATATCGCCAGAGGAAGAAGGGGAGAGCGGGAGTATAGAGTTTATGTCAAATCCAATTTCCCCAAAACCAATCAGGATGAGAATGTAAAGTGTCATATATCAACTTACAGACCGACTGCGAAGAAGACTTCTTCTAAACAGGATAATCTCTGCGGGAAGGGGTAGTAGGAATATTAGATATATAATTAGCATTCAACTCCCCCATCAGAGAACATAGCTTAGTAAAATCCCAACTTCCTTGAGAAAAGAGACCAGAAACAAGCAAATTGTTTGTATGAGATGGATGAGTGTGCTCAGATGGGGAAGGCATTCCTCAATTCTCATTCCAGAAAGAGATGTTTCCATCACCAATACCCCAAAACATAAAAGTCTCTAGCAGTGGATCTGACATTCAAAATGGCCTTCCAGATCCTAGAGTCACCTACCTTCCACAAAACCTGGGAAGGGTGGGAAGTGGCACAATATTTTTTATGCATAAAAGAGGCCCAGAGAAAAGATCCCTCTCTAAATTTAAACCAAAGCTTGCAAAGATTAACCTTAACAGTATGTTGTAAAGCTTTGAAACCAAAACCCCCAGCATTTTTAGGTTTGCACATCCTATGCCAAGAAACCCAAATTTTCTTAGCACCACTCCCCACCCATAGGAATTTATTAAAAAACATTTCCATAACTTTAATGACACTCTTCTTCGGATTGAACACCTGTAAAGCATAGAGAGAAACACTTTGAAGCACACTCGAAAGCAAAGTAATTCTACCCCCAGTAGATATAAAGACATTCCTCCAATCATTAATCTTATGTTTAATTTTGTCAATGACATCATCAATCTGAATCTGCTTTTTCCTTCCCCTAATAAGATTTACCCCAAGATACTTTAAAGAGAGGGAGGCATGATGATAACCAGTGAAAGAAGCCCCCCAATTAGCAATATAATGTTTAACATGCTTGTCAAAAAATAACTTACATTTGTCCTATCCCCAGTAGATAGGAAGACATTCCTCCAATCATTAATCTTATGCTTAATTTTGTCAATGACATCATCCATCTGAATCTGCTTTTTCCTTCCCCTAATAAGATTTACCCCAAGATACTTTAAAGAGAGGGAGGCATGATGATAACCAGTGAAAGAAGCCCCCCAATTAGCAATATAATGTTTAACATGCTTGTCAAAAAATAACTTACATTTGTCACAGTTAAAAGCCAAACCAGAACAATTCTGAAAATTATTTAAGTGCATCATTAATATTTTGATAGCAAGTTTAGATGCATTTGCAAAAATTTTGCAAAAATAATAACATCATCAGCATAAACAAGGTGGGAGACCATAGTTTTAGCCTTATGAGAGAATTGTGTGTGAGGGTAGAATGTGTGAGGGTAGATGTGAGGGTAGAGCAATTGAAAACGATTGATTAATCTAGATAAGTAATCAAAGGCAATGATGAAAATAATATGGGAGAGAGGGTCCCCTTGTTTAATACCCATTTTAGCGGAGAAAAAATCATAAGAATTGTCATTAACAAGCACACTGTAATGGTTATTTGACAACCATCTTTTAATTAGCATGCAAAAGCTAGAACTAAAAACTCTGGCCACCAAGACATTAATAATGAAATTCCACCTAATGGTACCAAAGGCTTTTTTGATATCTAGTTTTATAACTAAATTTTCTCCCCTGCATTTTCTATCAAGATCTTCAATAATTTTTTGGGCTAACAAAATATTATCAGAAATATCACAGCCTTTAACAAAAGTCGATTGATGTGGAGAAATGAGAGAGGGAAGATGAGGTTGTAAACGAGCCACAATCAATTTACTTATGATCTTAGGAAGAGAGGTCTGAAATTCTTCCAGTGCAATTTATCCGTGGATTTAGGGATATGCATAATCAAGGCAGCAGTAAAGTACTTACCAGGATTTTCTCCTTGAAAAAAACTTTGAATGGCTAGAATTACCTCATTCTTTATGATGTCCCAGCAAAAAATATAGAAAACAGAAGTAAAACCATCAGGTCCAGGAGCTTTTTGGGAGTAAATATCTTTGAGAGGAGAGAATTGCCATCTTCAAAGGAGGGTCAGACAATAAAAGGGACGATACCAATTCTCTATTGGAATTAAACAGATTCAGATCAATATCATTGACCGAGACAACATCATCATAAAGAGAAGCAAAATAATCTTCAACATTGGAGTCAATTTTATCAACATTAGTAAGGACAATACCCTCAGATGTGACAATCTTAAGAATAGCATTAATATTCTTTCTATGCTTGATGGTAGCGTGGAAATATTTAGTATTTCGATCACCATTGCTAAAGTGAGTGTCACATGCTTTGTGTCGTTGGAAATCTTCCTCAATAGCGATTTCCTCTACGAGTTTTTGATGAGCCTGAGCCACATTTTCGATAAGAGGAGTGCAGATAATCTGTGACTCCAGTGCATCCACCTCCTGTTGAGCTTTCAAAACCCTGGAGTGGACATTGCCAAACACATCAAAATTTCACTTCTTCAATAGAGTAGACACTTTTTTATGCAATTACCACAAAATAAACCATGGGCTGTCACTAAACCGAGAACTCCAAGCCTGTTTAACCAGATTAAGAAAGGTAGGATGCGAGGTTCAGACATTGAGAAATTTAAAGTGAGAGTGAGCAGGTTTAGAGTGAAAAGCCAAACTAAGCAAAATAGGATTATGATTCGAGGCAACATGATTAAGATGCTTGACATGAATGATATTATAATAATCTAGAAAAGAGAAGTTTCCCAAAAATCTGTCAAGCCTCTGCATAAGCAGACCTCTCCTCCAAGTATAAGGAGTACCCGAGAAACCTAAATCAAAACGACCAGCATCAGTAATATGCTTACAAAAACGGTTGATAAGATTTGTATCAGTTTTAGTCCTACCCCTTTTCTCCGTAGGGGACATAATCATATTAAGATCACCTTCAACAAACCAGTTATCAACAATAGAAGCACTCATGTGTATAAGTTGTTGCCAAAGAAATAATTTATCCTGTAATAAGGAGTTGGCATAAATGAAGGTAGCCCAACCATGAAATTCCTCCAACGTATAGTGAACAAGAACATATTGCAAATCATCATTAATGATGCTGGATTTAATTTCTTCCAAAAAATCCAAATTTTATTGTTCTGATTACTATAGTGCAGATAGTTTTTGATTTTTTTAATAATATCATCCTTATGGACAGACATCAGCGGCTCCAAAATTGCAAAAATACCCGGCTTATGGACCCTGCATAAATATTTTAAACAATTAATGGAGTGGGGGTCCGCCACTCCCCTAATGTTCCACACTAATATGCTAATCATGTTGGCCCAAAGCACCCCTCCTAGTGATCCTAGGGGGAAGGTGCAAGTGCTCTCCCTCAGAATGGTAAATGACATCAGTATTGCTTGAAGTTTTCATATTAGAAATGTCAGACTTCCTTCTTCCTCTTTTCCTACTGTATTTTTGGATACTCCATTCAGAATCTAAGGCCAAAGTAGTCTCAGCAACCTGGTCAATCTGTGTAGTAATAGAGTGCATAGCAGGGGGGTGTTGAGTTGTAACGGTTTGGGGAGTTTCCACAATGGGTAATTCCCCAGGGAAAGTATTAGCAATAAGTAATTCAATGTCCTGCTCAACCAATAACTCAGCGCCCATAGTTGAAGATGGCAGATGTTGAGATGGTGTGGACTTTGTGTATCAGAAACCCGTTCCACTGTGGCTTCAAACCTCTCATTGTTTAGAGGGCCATCATGCTCAACGGTACCATGTTGCACAACACTATTCCCCTCCAAGCAAGGGGCAATTTGTTCAATTGCAGGCGGTGTTCTCTGGTAGACTTAATCTCAGCAGAGGTCGAACGACCTGCACTATTTTTCCTTATTTCAGGATGCAGGTGAAAACAATGCACCAAATCATGTCCAAACATGCGGCAATGGGAGCAGTGGTGAGGATGTTTCTTAAGAAAAACCTGTTGCCAGTAACCAATATGTGTAGAACCTATCAAAACCTCCTCAGGGGGGTAAAGTAACATCTCTTTTAATTAAAATTCTTGCATAGAAGGCCTTGTTAAGTTGAAAGTCGGAAATTGAAAGCCGGCGCATCTAATATTAACGGTTTACCAAACATGGCAGCGATTGAGAATAAAATCTCGTGGTTGAACAAATGCACTTTTAAACCAAGTAGACGAAGCCAAATAGGAATAATAGGAAGCTCAGCCCGAGCTTCGAAATTAGTAGTCCATCTTAGGACTTTCATCAAAACATCCTCAAAACGAACAGTTTTACGAGCAAAGAGTTTAGCGTAGTCATCCTCATTAGACAACCGAATCAGTATATGCCTACTATCAAGAGCACCAATCTTCCAGCCCCAAGCCAAATTTAAAAGCTCGAAAAGTTTAAGAAGAAAATCAAATTTTGGTAGCCCATAGAGAAACTTACCCACCAAATGATATTGACAAGCAGACGCAAGAATGGCGTTTTCAGAGTCAGAGAGGATGAGCGCAAGCTTACCCCCGAGTTCGAGAGGAAGAGCGCAAACTTACCCCCCTTCTTTCCCTGCTTCTTTATGAAATTGTACTCCCCACCAAGAATCAAAGATTCATGAGAGGAAGAAGGAAAAAACAAACTTTGGAGCAGCATCGGAGGAGGAGCCCCCGGTAGTGACTCCGGCATAAGTTTTTGCCATTGACGGCAAAAACCAAAAAAACGAGGAGCAGTAGACGAGCGCTAAGGAGAAGCCAAAGCAAGAAAACAAACGGAAAGATCTCACCAATATCCAGCAGACGAGAGAGAATAAGCACCATCAGCATCTCGAAATCGCCAGGAATCCCGAACCCTACCAGAGCTCCCGAAACGTCCATCGCAATATATATATATATAATTTATTTAACAAAAAAATATTTTATTAGTATTTGATGGTAAACTAGGAGCTTTTAGCGTAAGCAGTTTTTAAGGTTTTTTTTTCTTTCATTATTAGTGAAAGGATTTGAAGTTTTGAAGAAAGCCAGGAATTTTAGTCAACTCTATCTTGTGTTTTGAATCGTGTATTACATTATTTATTCCAGTGAGAGCTTCAGAAAGCTGTGAGGGAGAACTTCTTGCTTGGCACAACTCTTCCCCTAAGCCTAACACTACCATAGCTTCTCCTTCGCAATCCAAAATATGACGGCTGTTTAGCTTGAGCTGTTTGTAGCCCCCTTTTAGGACTATCATAAACGTATAATAAGCTTTCATCCTTTCTGAATCCTGGATTTTCTTCTCCTTTAAATTGGCTGCCTTGGGCAGGAATCTAGGAGCTCCACTTATTACGGCCCGCAGGTCTGAAAGGTGCCTGGCATTGTGTGGCTAAGCACCACCCAACACTCATGTAACCTTGATTGCTATAGCCAAATCATGGTATAGCCACTTTTATATATGAAAAAAGAAAAGAAAATTTATTACTTTTATGGTTATTGTGTATGGTTAAGTTTATTTAATCTACTTACCTGTCATCAAAGTTTGATTAGAACAATTTTTTTGCTTTATAATGATACGTATGATTAGCATTTCCAAAGTGGCAATTGCTCTATCCTACACATTTGGGCGAAGCGGAGTGCTTTTTAGTGCTTCACCTTGTTTTGCAAGCATTCGCTTGGGTGTGCATTTAATAACATTGATATGAAACAATTTGAGTATTAAGATATTATTTATTTGCCATTTTATCAGATGAATTATACGCAAATACTGTCAAGGAAATTATCAAATGGAGGGATCTTCTTAAGCATTACCTTAAAACCTTAGATGAAGAGGTATGCCTTCATAGTATACTTTTTGGTCATTTTTTGTACAATTTATCAGTTGTTGTCCTATAGTTCTTACGTTTCAGTTTGCACACTTTTTGCAGTTGAGTGATGCTATAATCTTATTTTTCTTTAATGTTGGTTGCAAGCTGATATTTATTTTTCAAGTGTTCTTTATCTATATTACAAAAACAACAAGCCTTTTTCCCACTAAGTGGAGTCGGCTACATGAATCCCTTTTCTCTATCGTGTCATATTGAGTGTCATATTTTCATTTAATTCTAATAAATTAAGATCATTTTTTTATATAATAAGCCGAAGTCTTTTTAGGTCTACCTATTCCTTTCTTAACATAAGTTGAATCTAAAACACCTACTCTAATAACTAGATCATCAAATGGTTGACGTTTGATGTGACCAAATCATCTTAGGCGACTTTCTCTTATCTTGTTCACCACAGGATCTACACCAACCCTTTCATGGATACATTTGTTTCGCATTTTCTCTATGTGTAAAGTATTATCATCTCAGCAACACTTAATTAGTTCTATGTTTCTCTTTTATAGGCCAACATTCTGCGTCATAAAGCATTGCCGGTCTCACCACCATCTTAGAAAATTTTCATCAAGTCTAAACAATACTTTCTATCAAGCAATAAACCCGATGCATTCCTCCACTTCAACCATCCAACTTGAATTCTACTAATAACTTCCCCATCCATATCACCATCGCTTTGAAAAATAGGCCCGAGATATATAAAACATTCAGCTTTAAAAAATAGGCCCGAGATATCTAAAACATTCACTCATTTTAATGACTTGATCACCCATTATTACATCCCCGCCACTAGGTCTACTATTACTAAAATTACATTCAATTTATTCAGTTTTAAATTTACTCAAACAAAAGACTTTAGACTCCAAAGCTAACCTCTATAATCCATTTTTTTCCTGAACTCTTTTTCTAATCTTATCCAGAAGATGGATATCATCAGTGAAAATCATACACCATGATACATACTCTCGTAAATACTAGTAAGAACATTCATAACTAAAGCAAACATATATGAGCTTAAAGTCGATCCCTCATGTAATCCAATTGAAATTGAGAAATACTTGGTTGGTCCTCATGCTGTTCGAACACAAACAACTTCTCTAGTATGCCCTACCTCTAATTAAATTAGGAATCAACTTCTACTTAATTTCTTCAAAACGATGTTCACTTATTTTTTCTAGTCGTTGCACTTGAATTATTTAACAGTTAGGCGATACTTTATTTTATTTGTTAGTGTGTTAATAAAATTATGCAAATACCTTATCATATAGATTTAATTGTTGTTTGTCGAATCATTCGATACTTTAATGGACACTTGTGGTTTATTTTTCTTAATTGGTTCTTCTCTTCATCTAATGGTTTATGGTGATGTTGATTGGGCTAGGTCTCTTTATACTTGATGGTTTGCCTTAGGTTGGCGTGTGTTTGTTGGTGACTCATTTGATTTGCTATATGTACCAAAATCATCTATTTAGCTTGAATAGTGTGCAATGCATGTTTCTAGCTTTGAGATTATCTGCCTATGTGGAATTTGACCTGAACTTAGATTTTTTTCAGAATAGTCTTACTCTCCATGTAAGACTTGGGCTTATTGTATAAAAAATGATCTTAATTTATTAGAACTAAATGAAAATATGACACTAAATAGGACGCAATGGAGAAAAAGGATTCTTATAGCACGTAGTGGGATTAAGGCTTTAGTGTTGACATTGTCTTACTCTCCATGTGAACAATACTTTTACCATTCAAATTGATGTTAATCTTGTTTATTTCGAGCACATAAAACATATTGAAATAGAATTTCATTGAAATCAGGAAGCTTTCATATTATTAATCTTCCTTGTATTTCTACAAATTTCCATATTCATAACATATTTACAAAGGCAATGCCATGACCGCACCGTTGGTTCATTGTGAGCAACTTGCTTCTTCTTGAACTACAAACATTTTTGCTATGATGTAATAAATCTTGCATTATTGATGGATAATTAAGCTATATAATAAATATACATTTATGTGTGCAATTATATAGTATATCTATGAATATTTGCATATAGGAATGCCACTGTAAGTTCCTTATTAGGCTAGATTTAATTGTTGTAATAGTTTATATTTAGCTTTGTATTTTCTAATATATAGTTTATATAAACCCTTTATGCATTTGGCATAGTTAATGATTTAATTGCAAGAAATTTACTTGGAAAGATTATATGTGCTCTTTTTTATGCTATTAAATCAGCATATACTTCATGTAAACCTCTTTTTTTATCAAGCTAAATAACGTAATGCACGCAAAAATCATCTTTTTGTTATTAAATTTCTTCAATGCCTGTCACTGTTCATCTCCTCTTTATCTATATTATTATAGCTCTTTCCATTTTCTCTCTGTATATGGACAAGGATTATCTCATTGTTATATGTGTATCATTTATTATGCTGCTTTTACTTGGAGATTTTTTTCATGCTTTGAATTAAGTACCTTAATACTTGTGATGACGTTTCTTTGTGAGGGCTTTGTAGATTGAGGTGATCTTAAAATTCGAGGAGATTTCCGTCGAAACAGCAAGAGAATTCTCTCCTTTGTTCTCAAATGTAAGCAATTGTACACCCAATTAATTTTCTGTTATCTCTTTTCATATATACTAGCACTATGAGCATGTGTGTGTGTGTATTTATGAAGTACATATTAGAAACAGACAAATGTAGATAAACCAACCTTGATCATACACAAACATATTCACGTATCAAATTTTGAAGAACAAAAAAACAATAGACTATAACTTTAACTTTTTTTTTTGAAAGCTTTAAATTAAATCTGCCTTTATGATGTATCCATTATCATATGTACTATTGGCATATCCACGTTAAAATGGCTTATACATAACCAGTTTAAAGATTAAGCCATTCATTCTAAAAATTGTGTGATGGAAATAAGTTCGGACGAATTGCTGGGCATTCATGCCTTTTTTTTACTCTAGATTGTCTATATGTGGCTATCAGACAATGGTGATAATTTCACCTGCAAGTGGTATCAATGGCTTCAAATGTTTCAGATCTCATGGTATGAGTTATCTGTATGTGAAACACAATTTCATGGAGTCATTTGGGATCATTTTTTTTTATATTTTTAATTTTTTATTTGTTTATGTTTTGGTTTGAAAATAAGACATGTTTGGCTATCTGTTTTAAATATGGTTGTTTTTAAGGACACCCAAAAAGTTTGTTTGGGATCATTTTTGTTTTTTATTATTATTTTTTAATTTTAAAAACAAGTTTGTTTAGTATTTTATTTTATTTTTTTTGTTTGCTTTTATATTTTTAAAAATAAATTAGATTGCTTTTAAAAACATTCAAAACATCTAAAAGTTGTTTTAAGTGTTTTTAAAAATAACTAAACATATTATATCATACTAAACATGTTTTATTTTAAGTTTAAACATAAACAAATTAAATTAACACATAATCAAAATATAATAGAAATAGACAACATAAAGTAAAAAATCAATTGGGATCACTTTTAATTTTTGTTTTCTGTTTTTAGTTTTTGTTTTATTTTGTTTATTTTTTTATTTGAAACAACACATGTTTTATGCGGTTGATTAAGCTATTATTATTTTTTAAAAACTCAAAACTCCAAAAACTGTAAGGAGTGTTTTCAAAACATGTTTATTGTTTACAGAAACAAAAAATAAAATATCTTATAAATACCTTAAACAGACATGTTTTTAAAAACTAAGGAAAAAATAAAGAGAAAAAACAAAAAACAAAGTTGATCCCAAACAAAAATGACCGAGTCATTTTCTATCACCAGGTCCTAATTTATTGTTTGCTTCAGTTCATATAACTACATTCTCTCAAGACTTGAATATGGCTGCACTATATCGACGTAAACATTTCATATTTTAGTGAGAATTTTTAATGGAAAAGTGCTTATTTTAATGTTTTTTTTTCTTTTTCAGATTCTGAGTTTCCTCTATGATAAAGAAATTTTGTCAGAGGAGGCAATTTTATCTTGGGCGCAGGAGAAAGAAGGTGCTGACGAGTCTGATAAGATCTTTACTAAGCAATCAGAACAGTTCATTAAGGTACGCATTGAAAGCACTTCATATTGATTTTTTTTCCATTTTTATTTATTTGTTTTGGGATATTTACATAGCTGGAGTGATCTGCATTGTAGAAGATGTTATTGCAATTACACTTTAGCTTGGTCTGGGCATATATATAAATAACCTGTTTGAGCAAACCACCTAGCTTAAAGTTAAATATTTTGATTTGGACTATACTAACAATGATTGATTTTGAGTCAATAACATGAAACATTTGCTTTTAGCTTTTTACAAAATTTACACTTCTACCCACACTTCTTTATCTCCCAAACATCTAAATGTATGATAATCTTTGTCAACTTTCCAGTTGTTTGATCATGGCACACACAAATACACAGATTTTGTAATTCAAACAATCTAATTCTAATTATTTACAAAAACTGCATCCTCCTATCATCATTTTTCTTAAAGTTTTCACTTTATCGTTTATTGTGGCACATTTAAATGCATAATTTCAGTAGTTCAAAAAATAATTTTTGGTATTTGTTTTGTAAACAAAGAAAATTTTTTGATGTTAGGTATAAACTATTTATATTTTAACATGCCTGTTCATTTACTTATTATTATCATTATTATTTTGGTTTATTCAGTGGCTTAGAGAAGCTTCAGAGGAAGAAGGGGAAGAAGATGACTAAATGCTTTGATCAATAGAGTCATCTAACCAGCAGCATGGGTTCTGTTTTTCCTCCTTTTTTTTTGGCGGTTTTATTCCTTTTCTTATTTGTAAAATTGCTATATGTTTTTAGTATTCATTCTAGATTTTCTAAAGGATGTAAATGTTGATGATTTTTTTTAGATGTTATTTTAATTTTTATTTCCCTTTTATGAAAATTAGAAGCCAATTATAAATTCACCGTCCGCATTGATAAGAATTATATATCTAAATGGTTTGGGTTATGAGAGATTTGGGTGGTACTAATCTTAAAAAAACAAAAATTAGGTGGTTTATATACAGATACATAGGAATTGGATGGTATGTATGCAAATGTTTCTTTTATGATTTAGGCAGAACTATTGAACAAGATCAATGCCATTAAAAATCATCGTACATTTGATTCAGCAACTCGGTGATTAAAAAAACATTCTGGGGGTGACACCTGATGCTTCTCCAAACTTCGATCGATATGTGTAGGGTTACACGAGCTAGGCTAGAACAAGCTCGGGTTAGGCTCTTCAAAAAACACTGTAGTTCTTGGTCAGCTTGATAATGTATCAAGGGCGAGAAAATTGTTGTGCTCGGCTCGTTTGTCTAACGAGCGGACCGCAAGCTGCTGACGAACGAGTAGTATCTTTTTGACATCCCTAACCATGCAGTTGTAGGATGTTCAAGGTTGGAGTGAGGTTTAAATATTTTTTTTTTTCTATTAAAGCATTCATTTAACTAAAATTTAATATATTTTTATTTAATTTTTAATTAATAATTTTAATTGATTATAAATCGTTGTAAATTTCTAGTCAATTTAATATTTTTAACAATATTTCAAATTAATATATTAAAATATATCATTTTTTATTTTAATTTAAATATCTTTTTTTGGCCCTTTGATCAAAATGAAAAGACAATTTAGACAATGTTTGAACTAGTTTGTGCTTTAGAAATAGAATCAGTTTATTGATTCATCGGTTCAATTTTGATTCTGACTAGTGCAATTTTAATTCTCTACAAAAACAATTTTGAGACTGAACTAAATCGGTTGAATGACTGGTCGAACCAGAATGTCTGATTTTTAAAATCATGTTACGACCTACGTGGTTCACAGCTCATGTAGCTCTCAACTTCAACTTCTACAGCCTACGAACACAATCCAATCTTCCTACTACATCCTTTGTGGCCAGCCAATGCTCCTGAAGTCACCACCTACAACCTAAATGACCAACTAATATGATAGTTTTCAACTATGACCTCTACAACAGGTTGGCACTATAGTTATTATCTATAACTTTTGTGGCGGACTGCTGCTTCCATAGAAATTGACTATGACCTTTGTGGCCTATTACAGCTATCGTTACTCATTGTACATCAACTTTATAATCTCATCTTCCCTAATTCAAAACTAAAGTGAGTTACTGTACTCAAAATTATATAATGGACTGGGCCATCCCGTGATTTTATTCCCTTTCCAAGGTTTTCAAGTAAAAATCACGGTATCTCTTCTTGCTACTTTTGATGTGTGTTGAATCTCATAGTACACTAAGACACTAATTTATCACTCTACCACTTGGGATCTTCCGGCACACATCAATAATATTGATATGTTCTTAGAGTATACACCTAGTCATCCTATGTTTTCACGTGATTGAGACATTAAAATCATATATATAAATGAAAAAAAAAATGTAAAAGTTAGATAAGTTATTATATAAGAATTATATCGTATTTATGTAAACTACCCAACATGTAATTAACGTCATATCACAGCCTAAATTCTTCTTATTGCTGCATCCCCACACAAGTTTTAAGGAGAAAAAAAAAACATTAATGGCAAAATAAATCAAGGTTTGAGCCAACTTCTCTTGAGACAAGGAGATTCTTAATTAATTCTCTATGAGTGAAATCATGTAATTTAAATATTACTTAAGCAACCTTCTTTGTAATTTGTGTCATCATTTGTTTATTTGCATGGATGTGATTGATAGCTACTCTGTTTTCGAACAAATTGATTGGCTCAATTAGGAAACAAATCATGCAATTTTCATAATTAATAGTATCTAAAGATACTTCTTCAATGATATCTAAAGATTTTTTTCGTGAACTCCATTTATTGTATGCATGATTTATATCTAATCAATGGCGTTGACGATCATGTTATTTGATAACACCGTATAATATATTATATATGATATGATGTTCATTCTCATCCTCCTCCTCCTTCTGGTGTTGTCTCCCTTCACCAACATCCTCTCAAAATGTAAGAAGAAGAAGATGCCACCAGGTCCATGGCGCCTTCCAATCCTCCGCAACCTCCACCTGCTCAATCCCAACAAGCCTCAGCAATCCCCCCTCAACCTCTCCAAAAAGCTCCTTCAACTCGGCTCCATCCCCACCCTTATCGTCTCCTCCCGCGATGTAGCTAAGGAGGTTTTCACCAACCATGACCTCACTTTCAGTGGACGTCCTCTCCTCACAGCATCAAAGAAGCTGTTTAAAAATAACCCAAGCATCACCTTCTCTCCCCATGGCGGTCGTTGGCGCCAAGGCGACAAGATTTTCATGCTTCAGCTGCTCGGCCCCCATCGCGTTAGAGCTTTTAAAGCAGTACGAGGAGAAGAAATAGAGGAGTTGGTTGCCAACATCAAAGATGTCTTCGTTGTTGCAAATTTGAGTGAGTTGATACGTTCATTTACAAATAATATAGTTTGTAGGGTGACGCTCGGTGATGAGTTTGGAGATGGAAGAATAAGTGGAGATGTAGTTGCTTTTGGAAACCCAAAGTTTACTTGGCAGCTTCTTTGTGGCAGATTTCTTTCCTCGGATGGAATGGGTTGATGGTTTGAGGGGCTTTCATGGGAGATTGGAAAAGAAATTTGAGGAGATGGACGCATTTTTTGACCGAGTCATTCAGGAGTATCTTAAAAATGGAGAGGAAGGAGAAGAGAGCGACAACGTTATTAATGATAGTGGTGGTGATGAGGAGAAAGATTTAGTGTGTATTTTACTAAGGTTGCATAAAATTGCAGTCCTTCATGGAGGTTTTTTAAGTAGTATTGATCAAGTCAAGAGTATCTTATGGGTAAGTTATAACCATTTTTTTTTCTTAATTATAAGTAATGATGATCATGTTGAAAGAAATATTTCTTAGTAACAACATAGGCTATATGCACTTATTAGATATCAATATAGAGATTTGTCTTATTTAATGTAATTAACCTGATCAGGAAGCGCTCATAGCCGGAACAGACACTTCGTTGGCCACAATAATTTGGACGATGACAGAGCTTATAAGAAACCTTAGAGTACTTTATAAATTACAGGAAGAGCTCAAGCAAGCCACTAATGAAGAGATATGCAAACTCATCCAAGAAAGCGATCTTGAAGAGCTTCCATATCTAAAACAAGTCATAAAGGAATCAATGAGGTTGAAGCCTCCTGTCCCTCTCTTGGTTCCACGAGAAACCATTCAAGCATGTCGAGTCCAAGGTTACAAAATTCCTGCCAAAACGCGGCGTTATCATCAACGCCATGGCTATTTCCACCGACCCAAACGTTTGGGAGAAGCCGCTCGAGTTCTGGCCTGAAAGGTTTGAAGGAAATAATATAGCTTTCATGGGACAAGATTACGAGTTTTTGCCCTTTGGCTCGGGGAGGAGAAAGTGTCCTGGGATTAGCTTTGCAATGGTGATTGTTGAGCTTGCTTTAGCCAATCTCCTCCACTGCTTTGACTGGTCGCTGCCAGATGGAATGAAGGCTGAAGATATTAGCTTGGAGGAGACCATCGGAATCACTGTACATAAGAAAGTGGCCCTTTGCCTTGTTGCTAAACCTAAGTGGTGAGGAACAAGCATCACCTAGCTAGTTAATGTGTACCCATATTGCTCTCTCTCTCTCTCTCTCTCTCTCTCTCTCTCTCTCTCTCTCTCTCTCTCTCTCTCTCTCTCTCTCTATATATATATATATATAATAAGACAAGCTAAATCAATATGTAATAAGAGAATCTCTATTGAATTCAAAAAAAATACAGGAAATACACTCAAGGAATAGAGCATAACATAAGAAAAAAGAAACATTAGAGAATCGTGAAATGTGTAATCTTTTATTGTGAAATAACCTATATTTTTAGACATAGGGGTATAAATATTGCAATTACAGATTTGCTCCTAATCATTAGCTTTTGAGGAGTTACTCTAGTAAATTACAAGAAAGATACAATAAAGTAATAAATTAGGTCACCCGACTGATATTGAGTATGTCGATTGTTCAGCTCGGTAGGTCAACCGAATTCTGGTTGTGTGCTAATAACCAATCGACAGGGGTGTCGATACTTGATCGGTCACCTCGAGTTGTGTCGACCATCTGGACTTTCTTTGAATGACCTCCAGATCTTGGGTTTGTTGGCTGATCGGATGGATCTGTGTATGATCAATCGTTCGATCGTCCAGCGATCAGAACGATCGTTCACTCCTTCCTGATCGTTGTTCTTTCTGAGACACATGTTGCGTTATTAGTCGATCGTTCTATCATCCAAAAATCATCTCCTCTCTGATTGTTGTACTTTCTGAAATCCATGTTTTGTTGTTAGTCGTTCGTTCGAAACTCTAACGATCATCTTCTGTCCTGATTGTTAGATTGCTTTGAGATTCATTCCGTCGTCTATTAACTAATCTTTCAATGCTTTTTTTTTTTTTAATTATTAACTCATGTTAAAGTTGAAAGCTCACTTTCCCGCTGAACAATAATTACAATAAAAGAAACAACAAGTCTAGGCTTGCATATAGTCAGAAAAAAGTCCTTCCATGAATCTATTCTATCTAGCTTTTCAACCAGATCATGGGCTAGGTTCAATTTGATTTCTCTTCAACATAAGAATTCTAAGCTACGAAGATAAACTTGCCAAAAAATTTAGGTGTGACATTTGTAAATACCTAAGAATTGTATGCTACGAATGTAAATTTACCAAAAAATTAACTGTCATTATTAATCCTAAAGTATTTCAGTTATGGTCTTTCTGTCCATATTGTTCCATCCGATGGAGGAAACTTGCCAGACTTGAAGATACGATGACGGCGGCTTCGGCCGTCGCCTGCATTCGTTCCCTTCGCAATTCATCCTCTCTCACTTCCGTCACCTCCGCGCATTCCAGGCTGCTCAAGGCCGGCATTATCGCCGGCACCACTACGGCCAACCACTTGATCAACGGTTACCTGAGATGCGGCTCCATGTCTCATGCACAACAGATGTTCGATGAAATGGCTGAACCCAATGTAGTCTCCTGGACGTCCATTATGGCCGGCTATGTCGACGCCGGCCGGCCAGACCCGGCCGTATTTCTAGCAATGCCTGTGCATGGAGTTGAACCCAACTCCTTCACGATTTCCACCGCCATTAACGCCTGCTCAGAGCTCGCCAATGCTCGGATAGGCAAGCTTCTTCATGCCAGGATAGAGCTTCTCGGCCTCCAGTCGGACGTTGTGGCCTGCACAGCACTGATTGATATGTATGGAAAAACTAACGACATTGATTCCGCACGCCAGTTGTTCGACGGAATGTTCGAGAAAAACATTTACAGTTGGGGCACAATGATCTCCGTCTACGCACAGAATGCCTGTAATAACGAAGCTTTATATCTGTTCAGAAAGTTTTCATGGAAGATGCACCTGCGCCCTAACCATTTCATGCTTTCCAGCATCATTAATGTCTGCGCAGGCTTGGGGAGATTCGAACCAGGTCGATCGGCACACGCAGCTGCGATTCGTTTAGGTCATGAAGACAACGATGTCATCGCTGGAGGGTTGATCGACATGTACGCCAAATGCGGCTGTGTTGAGTACTCCCGTGCAGTCTTCGCTCATATCGCCATCCCCACCCTCATCCCTTACAGCGCCATGATCGTCTCCGCAGCGAGGCATGGCCTCAGCGGCCTGGCTCTCTCGCTGTTCAACGAATTGCTTGACCGGGGAATTCAGCCAAATAGTGTCACCCTCCTCGGCGTACTCCATGCGTGCAGCCACTCCGGTCTCAGTGATGCCGGCCTCAGCTGCCTCCACTCGATGCACCGCAACTATGGCGTGCTTCCGAACGCGAAGCATTACACATGTGCCGTGGACATGTTGGCTCGTGCGGGGCGGCTCGACGAGGCTCTCGAGCTAGCTTGCCGGGTCGATGCGTCCGGACACGATGAGCTGATGCTATGGAGTGCGCTCGTCTCCGCCGCCAGGGCGAAAGGCCGGCTTGACGTGGTGGAGAAGGTGAGAGCAACCCTAGCTAAGATTGAGCTAGGGAGGGAAGATGTTGCAGGCATCTACATCGCCATGTCGAACGCCTACATTTCAGCGGGGGAGTGGGACGGCGCTTCTAGGGTTCGAAGAGAGATGCGACGACGAGGGGTCAGGAAGGATCCAGGGTGCAGCTGGATCGAGGTGAAGAACTCGGTGTTTGAATTCTATGCAGGGAATGTGGTGGGTTGTCCGAGGAAGGACGAGGTCGTGGTATTGTTGAGGGAGATGGAAGAGAGAATGGGTGCAGAGATGGGTTGTAAGAGGACTCTGAAGAGTTATGTGGAGCTCGATAATGGCGGATTGGGGGAGGAAGAGTTCATTGTTGGGGTTCATAGTGAGGTCCTGGCAATGGCGTTTGGGCTATTGAGTTTTCCCAATGGAGGTAAGATCAGGATAATGAAGAATTTGAGGATGTGTGCGGATTGCCATGTGGTGTTCAAGCTGGTGAGCAAGATGGAGGGGAGGGAGTTTGTGGTTAGGGATTTGAATCGGTTTCATTGTTTTAGGGATGGGATTTGTAGCTGTGGGGATTATTGGTGAAATGGACATGGATTCATTGCTTCTGTGCATCATATATACATATATATATATATATATTGAAAAAAGAATTAAATCTTCTCCAAACAATTTCAATCATAGATAACTGCTTCGATCTCAAATCCAGCAACAACATCACAATAAAAGCTAAGTACAAAAAACAAATTATTCTATAAAAAGAAACAAAAATAAAAAAATAAAAAATAAAAAAAAAAAAAATATTCTCGAATCATTACATGAAAAGACAGCCAAAAAAGAAATAAAAAACTAAGAAAAAGAATAGAATAAATGTCGACATCTTCTTATAACATTGAATCCCTAAACCACCCTTCAGCTGATCCACGAAGCTCAAATCAGAACAATTTCTTGATTCGGGAACGAAACCCTCATCTTCAACCTCCGAAACCAAATCACAGTCCTCCTCGAACACAGTTTCGAGACCGATTGTTCCTCGGCGGCTCCGATTCTCCGTTCTCTGGAGCCTTCGCCGCCGTCTCGGTGAGTGCTGCGGAGAAGCGACGAGCGCCCCGTTGGCTTCACCTTCGAAGCTGGCGAACGCCTTTGGAGCCCTAAACATATTGTTCTATGGATTTGAGAAGCGAAAATGACCGGCAAGGTGTTGCGTGAGGATTTATATAAGCGTTTGATGGAAGTTGGTGATCAATGGAGGAAGTTTTTTTTTTTGAGTGATTTTAATTAATGACAGGAAGATTTGTCTAAAAATGTCGAATAAAATTGTGTTATTAATTTAAATTGATTTTTACCGATTAATCATTTAAAATATTAAATATAATATTTTAATCATCTAATTTTTAAATATAAGGTTTAGGGTGGTGCTTACGACGAAAAATGTAGTTAAAATGTTATACTTGATTTTTGTGGGATTAAAATATTATATTTAATGTTTTGGGTAGTTGATATTTAAAAATCTAAATTTATAAATGGGTGGTTTGGGGGTTCTCTGGGCTATTACTTGTTTTTGTTTTTGCCTTGATTTAGTTGTAATTTGTTTTAAAATAGGAAGCAATTATATATATATATATATATATATAGTAAACCCTGCAGGTCGGGGGTTCGAATCTTTTTTGGCACAGTTGAACATAAGGCGGTGGTACATGAATTATAGGCATATTAGAGATGGTTAGTGGCTCGTTATAATAGTCACTATGTATTAAATTGTGTATTTATTTGTCTAACACGCAAACTTTTTATACATCTACATAAATAGCAATTCGATTTTTAATATCATGTCAAAATATCATTATTACTAACTTTTTAAATAAAAAATATGTACTTTTTCATGCATAAGTTTATGATATCAAATTTTAGATGTTGAATACATGAATAGATAAGAATTGTAAAGTATGTGTGTAAATTTTCCATATATATATATATAT